TCCAAGCCGATCCAGGAGCGTCGACTCAAATGTAACTTCTTTTTTTTTAAATCTCCTATTTCATATTTTTCTGATTCCAGGTAGCTGATGATTGCAGTCAGTTCCGTGCGCTTTTCTCTCGTGGAGATCTCCATGTGAGAATTGTCCATTCTGGAGGACCTGGAGAAAAGTAGTTTCTTTTATTTGAAAATCTAAAGATAAACAAAAAAACTGAATTTCAGACCAAGAGAGCTGCGATGGGCAAAGGATCCATCCCAGATGAAGAACGAAACCGTTTGCAATTTACTCGCAAAGTTCGCTACTGGAATGTCTTTGTTAGATCATGTTAGTTTTTTATTCAAATGTAGCACTTATCTGAGATCTTCAGCCATATCGATTCGTGGCTGAAACTGGGATCACCGATCTTCTGATTGCTCTTCGTAATCATCAAAGTATCGTTATCGTATTACCACAACTCGTTCGAGGAATTCGATCCGGTCTCTATTCTTTTGACGTCGAGAAAAAGAAATTTTGCCTGAAAACTCTGTCAAGAATCACTTCAATGCAAGGAATTGGAGCTCAACTGGTTCCGTTTTATCGACAACTCCTCCCCCCACTCAGTATGTTTATTTTTGATTAAGGTCACCCACAGTAAAACCTCTAATAGAGGGGCCCCTCAACTCACAACTTTGAGCTCATTTATCTCGGTTCCAGCAAAAGATATCAAAATGTAGTCAACTGATAAAGTATTTGTCATAAAAACACTAGTATTTTATCAGTTGATACATTTTTGATAGCGTTTAGAAGAACTGAGGTAATAGAGCTCAAAGTAAAAAGTTAGGGTCCCTTCTTTTACAGGTTTTACTGTAAATTCACCCATCGTAAAGCCTGTAATAGAAGGTCCCTCTAACTTTCAACTTTGAACCATTTTTCTCGGTTTATGTCAAAGATATAAAAATGTCGTCAACTGATAAATTGTTTATCATAATATCAAGAGTATTTTGTCAGTTTATCACTTTTTGATATCTCTCACAGAAACCGAGATAAATCAGTTTACGTTTGATAGTGGTTTCATTTTTTCAGGAACGGTTCGTCAATCTCGAAGTAGATCAGATCGTGTTCATTATGACAAAGGAAGACAAATTGAGGAAATTATTACATCAACTTTGAACGATTTGGAGAGAACGGGCGGTCCAAATGCGCTGATCAACATCAAATATCTCATTCCTCACTATGAATCATGTCAGTATGTTTGAAAGGCATTTTCGAATAAAATATTTGTTTATATTGGAGCAATACTAGAAGTGTGAGCAATAACAACAACATCTCTTGATGTTTTGTTTCGAAGGATAGTTTCAATAATAGTATGTCGAAAAGGGATAATAAAGTAAAATGAAATCAAGGGATCTACAAGACCTGGCAATGCATTTGTAGCCAATGTTAAATGTTCTGAAA